TTTTTCACCATGTACAATCTAAATAGCTAATATACTTTTTTAAAAGCCAATAAGAACATTGGTAGAATTCTTCTACATAAGTACAATACTATGTCTTTGATGATAAAATACTATGTCTTTGATGATAATATACTATGTCTTTGTGCTAGAACATTGTGTTCATTGGCGAGCGAGCGCAGCGAGCCATGGTTCACGGAGTGAACCGCATAGGATTGCGTAGAAATTTTAGGGGGTTGGCAAACGTTAGCGAGCAGGGGGCGGAGCCTCCTAGTATAACATAAAATCATAATGGTCTGATACCGTTTTCCATTGTTATCGGCGCATTTTTATTGGTCGGAAAATCACGTAGTCGGATCCAGTTTTCCCCCATTCATTTCCATATTGTTTAGGTTGTCATCAGCATAAAATTAACAAAAGTCGTTGTTTTCCTTTAAATATTATTGCATCCCTAATTGGGTATAATATAAAAAAAACACAACTACTTCGATTTAATAAGAACAACATATGACGCAATGCTAAACGAATGGAATTTAGTTGTTGTTTATTTAGTTATTGTTATTAGTAGTTGTTGTTATTTGTTTTAGTTGTTGTTGTTTATTTAGTTGTATTTAGTTTCAATAACTTTTCTTTATAATGCAATAAAATCTGGCGAGCAGCTATTTAAACGATCGAGCACTTCGTTTGTTTATTTGTGGCTTGAAGTTAGGCTCGCAGAAAATACCGTTCATGGGTTAAATTTAGTAGGAACAACACAACCTGTGACGTAGGCTATAGTATACCCAATTAAAAGTTTATTTTCAGTACTGCTATTATGAATGAAATAAGTTATAAGCAGAGAGCTTGCCGCACTTTACTATACTCAATAGTCAATTATGAGGAAAAATTTTAAATTATGGTTGTGAACTCATCAAATTTGTTTGAAGAATATAATGTATTAAGAATATAAATGTTATTTAAAAAAAATGATGATTAAAAAATCAATTTTGTTCACCAAGAGATCTAAATGCTTATAATACTAATAGATAGTAATATTTGGAAGTGGGAAGTAGAGGCGCAAAAGCGCAAGCAAACAGAACTACTTTTAGTACATAGATGTTAAGTGAATGTGTTTAACTATGGTAGAAAAACTGTTTTCTGGCAAGAAAAAACAATTATTGCGAAGCAGTCATCTGGGTTGGTGAGCGGTAGCGAACAGGGGGCCCCTAGTATCGTATAATTTTCAATATAACTGATAAGTGTAGAAGAAAAATGTTTCAGGAAAAAGTTTTCAATAAAATTCACCTCAATTCTACTCAATTATACAACACTCTGGATTCTAATAGCTGATAAATTCAGGGGGAGAGATAAAAGACATCAAGAAGATAAAAATTATATGATTATCTCGAAAAACGTATGCAAGCTCCCTCTGAATCTAGAGGAGATACATAAAACGGGAATGAGTCGGGATATTCTAAAGGGAATATTCTACGATATAAAAATATGCACTTATATACACACTTTGGAGATATCTGCGTGTGCATCCGATATTCCTTTTTACGTCATTCTAGTCTGTCGAATGATGACGCATAATAATTAATAAAATAAATCTCTTTGTAGTTTGTTAATCTTTAATATCAATCGTTGTTTTTCATCACTCCTGGAGCTTCTCAGTCAAATTTTTTAGAGCGGGATTTTTATTGAGAGGAATTCTCAACATTTTTTTATTTAAATTAAGGTCTATCTTCATTTTAATTCTCAAACTCAACGAATTTTTTCAAGTTTTGAAATGATATTTTTTATTATTAATTATAAATTACTACAAAAATTTTGTTTAATTTCATTTAATATTTCTGAAGTTATAGTACGAAAGCGCTAGTAAAAAGAAAAAAAAATTTCTAAAAATTTCTTTACTTCTACGAATATTTAAGCTAGGCTTACAATATTTCCCGCAGTTATTTTTATGTAAAATAAAATCAAGCTTCATATAATTTCTCAACACAAATTTCGATTTTTATATTTGATTATAGTACCGTGCAGTATGCAATATATTTTGTTTGCAATACAATTTGTTAACAAATATATCGAAAACACAGAATTTCTGAAAAGTAATAGAGCGAGCAAAGTATGTTTTTTGAAGCAAAATAACGGAAAAATTTCCATTTAGAATTAATCTCAGTAATTTTATTTACATTTCAGCAATGATATTTGCCCCAATAATTTCATTTTTAAATAAATTAGTGAGAAATTAAAAGATTCTTTCTGTCATTCAATTTTGCAGATCAAATATATCGAAAATATGTGAGGAGATTAAACCAGATTGGTGCAAGTCATTGTGGGAAGAATATCAAGATTCAGCTCAATGTGATTGCTTAGCAGAGCGTAATTGCGAAAATGGCACTTTTCTAGATAAAATGGTTAGTAATTATAAACTCTGTTCTCGATTGAATTCTTCAGCAGGATTGCATGAAATCATTGCAGTTAATTTCTCTTCCGACTTCGGGTCTTTCATTTCATCAATTTGTCATTGTGATTTTCAATAATAAAATGGCAATTTATTTGATTTAGGAGAGATAGTGCATTGTTTAAACAGTAAATATTTTATTAAAGATGAGAATTGTTTTAAACCTTAAAAGCAAGGAAAGTTATTTAGGGGTATAAAGAATTTTTAAATAAAATCCTCTAAAAAGGATCGTTTTTTTTTTCAAATTGTTTCTGCTATTTGTTTAATAATTTCCAAAGTTTTTATTAAGTTTTTAAATCTCTTCAAAAGTATGATTCGAATCATCAAACTAAAATTGTGACCAAAAAACAAATGCCATTAAAAAAATTAAGAGTGGGATTACAATTAGCAATTTTCCACTTCCTGCTTGAGGTGCAAAACCAGGAAATACTTCCATTAGCATCCACATTGTTCAGAGATTGTATGGTTTACACAATACCACTAATTTCCTACAAACACATGCTTAAATCATTATTTTAAATGAAAAACTTTCTCATAATTATTAACTTAAAACCTGTTTGAAATACATTTCTAAACTCAAAAGTTTTTATTTTTAAAAATTAATATCATAAACATTTTTTTCTCCTTAAGACTGTAAGGTATGGTGCTATTTCAACGAGGAGATACAATTAAAATAAATATAATTCTTATAGTATGTGTAACATGTGATTAAAAAATAATTAAAATAATAATCAAAACATTTTCTTGAAAATATCTTGTACTGAGAGTGGAATATTCTGGATAATGTTGGAATCTGAAATAATGTAAGTTTGCTGTTCTCTCTAATTTCAGAAAAATTAAAAATATCCTGGCGAGGTGATGACAATGCTCAGCTAATTTTACGTGTATAGCTCAGAACATTTACGTATAATATTTAATAATCTGAGTGTTGAAAATATATGTTGGAACAATAACTGGATGTTCTAAAACATTTATATATATACTATAAAAATATGTTCTAAAACATATATATATATACTTATATATATTTAATATATATACCATATATATATATATATATATGGTATATATATTTTGCTCTATACTGAAAATCATTTATTTTATACAGGTTCTACCTCTTTCTAGATATAATGACATAGCTACATTTCCACCCAATGAACGTCTAGAGTATATTCAAAATTTAAATGATGTAATACGTGGCTGTTCTTTCGTTGAGCATGGTAAACATACCGAAGATTGTGAGTAAGTTTTTATGTTGTGATGTAACAAGAAAACACGAAGGTAGTTCTAGGCATTGAAGTTTAAATTTTGTTTGATAAATACTGGGTGGTTATTAATAAAAGCCCCTTTGTTTCGCTTTACATATCTTCATATATAAAACTTAAAGTTTGTCTGTGTACAGGAACGTTTGTACTTTAAAATCTTGAGAAAGGCATCAATTCAAATTTCGCTTCTTTCTGCAATTTTTAAATTTTCATGGGATATTTTTCTGAGCAATCATCACTTTCCAGCAGCATTTAGTTTGCATATAGTATAGAAAAAATTAAATTTAAATATTTTATTTTTTTCAGATATTATTATTATTTTTTTATAAAATAAGATATAAAATATCACTTTTTTTAAAACAGAGCACTTCGAAATGCCTTTTTCAGACAGGACATTGATGGTTGAAACGACACTTTTGCTTCAAAATCTGGGGGAAAATAAATTACCAACCAGACTATATATATATATATATATATATCTGTGTGTGTATGTATTATGCAGCTGAGTGCCCTTTCATTTTCCTGATTACTTGAAATATTGTTTTTTAAATGTTAATTGATATATCTGTTTCGAATACTGTAATGCTCATCATTTTGGAGCAGCATGTGCCAAGAAACGAACTGATTTCCTAAGAAAAATCATGTGAGTAACCCTTTTTGGGACTGTTTTCATATTATTGTAAAAAAATGGCTCACCATGCTAAAAGTAAGGAGAGAAGACTTGCAATTCATTGCCGCTGAATTAGGTGTTGAGAATCTTAAGATTTCATGTATTGAAAACAGTGATTGTTGTAAATCATACTTATGAAGAAAATTTTGCGAGAGCAATGCTAAATTCATAAATTATAATCGACGAAAAGAAGAAAATTATTAAATTAAATTAGAAAAAAACATGGAGTTATAATTACGAAGTGCTACTTTGATTTCAGAAAACGCAAAAATAGATCTCGGATTGATAAAGAATCTTTTCGGCCTCTGATGGGGCTATTTTTTTCTAATTTAAGTGATTAATTTCTGATGTTCCATTGATTTAGGCTTATGGTATCCGGCTATTTTTGCATTTATTCTTATCGCTAATTTTAATTTTCCTTTCTTCAATTTTAATAACTCATTCATTATTTATTTTCTTTTGTACATGCATTTTTTTTTCAATTTCACAATTTTCAGATCTTATGGCTATTTATATATAGACATTAATTTTATTATTGAGATATCAATGTTATAGGCTTTCGCTATGTTAACTTTCGCCATTTTGTGTACGTTGATTTTGATTCTTGTTTTAATATGATTACTACACTTTAATTCTCTGATTTCTTGTGTTATGCCTTTATTTTATCCTTTTCTGATTGATAAATATAACTGTCTTATTTTTATCTCATTGATTTCATATAATTTTTTACAAATACATCATTTTTCAAAATTTTTTGTCGATTCTCTCCATTTGAAAATCAAAATTAAACTATCTATCGAAAAATTTAGTTATATTAACTATTCAATTTTACATAATGAATTTTCCAACCAATTATTTTTATTATTACATTATTGCATTGTTATATTTCTTTTGATACCTTTTACTTGTATTACTTTTACTTAATATCTTTTACTTGTTGTCTTCAATCAACATAGAAGTCTACGTACACAATGGTAATCATTTTGTTTATTACACATACCTTAGAGTTGGGTAATAGTGTTGAATAATGTGTTGGGTAATAGTGTTGTCCAACACATTATTTATAATAAGTAATGGTGTTATAATAAATAATATGTTATAATAAATAATAATTTCCCACATATGTTAGGGTTTTCTTTCATTTTTTCATAGATAGTCCTTTTATAACTAACGTTACTACATATAATAGCTCATTTATGAGGAAATTCTTCATTCTTTTTTTATTGTCAGTCATTAAAATCTTATCTATGTCAAGAATAATTGTTTTTGGTGTTAAAACCGTTAATCAAAGGAACATCGTTATTTCGCCTTCACGTTATTTTTCTATGGCTTCATCGGGGATCAGACGGGACTCTTAAACGCTATTAAATACTTTTTTAAGTAATTACTCGTATTATATACTATTTCATATTGCATAATCGTTTAAATAATTTTCCTCGTTGAAATATCAACCAGACGATCAGTTAGATCAACACCATCTTCATCAGGAAGAATTAGAAAACCAATGAATAAATCTGAACCTTTAGATATTCAGCAAAGTTCAACTCCTAGATACTCGTAGATATCCAGAAAAGTCCTAGTCATAGAGGCTCCTCGTTAGAATCTTCATCAGTAGAGGCATCAGTGGAAATAAACTAGCCTACTCTTGATACTTCAAATGAACTTGACGTATTATTATTGACATTAATCAATAATATTGAACACAAGTATAATGGAAAGTACAGTCTCCAAATTATACCAGGTAATGAGTGCAGGGATACTCTTCACAAGATAAAAGACCTCATAGAACACAACAAACATCAATCTCCATTGAAACTGAACAAATCGGTATCCACAGAAAATTTGAACACAGGTCTATCAGACATTACAAAAGAAATTGTGGAGTCAACTCTAACGGCACATTTACAAAGTATTCAAGAACAAATAAACGTCATTTCTAATCACATCAAGAGAACAAGAAAACAGACACCAACTTATAGCGATGTCTTAAAAAACCCAGCCCCACCTACTTCTTTAGTCCTTCCAGTCACATAAGATAGCAACACAAGGAATATTCCCAAGAAAATAGAAACAACAATCATTAAACCCGTCAATTAAAAAATTCTTTGTAAATGACAAAATTGAGGAAATAAAATACCGCAATAACAAACAAATTGAGAATATAAAGGCAAGTATGGAGAACGCTGGTATTTCCTATAAAGAAAAACTAAAACGGCAACTATCCCTGCCTCTTCTGATTGTTCCGGCATCCTACAGTGATGAAGAGGCAATAGAAACTCCTAAAGCCAATTGCGATTTCAAAGATGACACAGACACTATAACAATCACCAAGTCAATTCTGCACAAAAATGACATTTATAAAAGACTTGGCATAATAAGAGTCAACTTCCAATCGGCAATTCAACTGCTAAAAATTTATTATGTTTTCATGCTATGTTTTCAATGCATAATTAAGTAAAAGAATACTACTGTTACGGTGTAGACATTGCCAAATTTTAGGTCACCCCCAAAACAACTGAAAGAACAGAATAGCATGTGAACATTGTGGATCGCAACATGATTCTTCTCACTGCACCAGCTCAACCACAGCTTGCAAAAATTGTTTATATTCCAATGAGAAATATACATCGAAATTCAACGTAGGTACATCATAAAGCATTCTGTTCAGATTGTCCAACGCACCAGTATGAATTAAACGAATTGAGACGTCAATCTAAAAATAACCAACAATAGAAACACTATTAAAACACTTTTTAAAAAAATAAAGAAAGAAACGGGACAAGCCTACAATAAATTTTTTAACTTTTGTCAACCAGCGAGCAAACCAGGCAAGCGTTTGGAAATATACTTTGTAATTAAGAACAGATTTATAACATCTTCACCCTTGTTTCAAGTATTCTACACTCCATAACAAAAAAATCGACGCACCAAGAAGGAGTTGTCCGATTGAAGCGAAAATTGGTGAATAGGGAGACAATGTACAGAATAGTAAATGATTACAATTTCAGAACAATTGAATAATTTATTGAAGAGTTGCAAAAACAAGTTCAATAAGGTGTTGACCCGCCTCTAGCCTGGATACAAGCTGCCACGCGGCGTGGCATAGACCGATAAAGCTCCCGGATGGTCTCTTGCAGTATTTCCTGCCAAATTAGATCCAATTGTCGAACGAGGTCATCAACATTCCGTGGCAGATGCAATCGCCTTCCCATCACATCCCAGATATGCTCGATGGGAGAGAGATCTGGTGATCTGGCAGGCCAAGGAAGAGTTTGACAAGCTTGCAGACAATTCATAGCAACACGTGCCGTATGTGGTCTGGCATTGTCCTGCTGAAAAACCAGCCCAGGATGCTGCAAAAGGAACGGTACCAAAACAGGTCTTAGGATGTCGTCGACGTACCGCTGTGCAGTAAGTGTACCTCTAATGACGACCAAAGGGGTCCGACTGTCAAAGAAAATGGTACCCCAGACCATAATGCCTTGTTGAGGGCCGGTGTGGCGTGCAATAGTGAAGGCAGGATCCCCCTTTTGCCCTGTGCGTCTCCAAACACGTCTTAGATGATCATCAGGACACAGTTGGAAGCGGGATTCCTCGCTAAAGACTATACGTCCCAAGTCGGCATCATTCCAGCCATATCTGTTCAAAACATTCATGCATACGAAATTTCAAAGCAATCGGATGATTGCTTCTTGGTGCGTCGATTTTTTTGTTATAGAGTGTATATACAACAATAATTCTCAACTAGACGAAACAAACAGCATTCTTAAAAATCCTTATCCCGACGATATTATTCCTTCACATCGGCTAATTTACAAAAATAACATACCGGACGACCCATTTACACACAATGAGTTACAACGACTAATTAAAACTCTTAACAACAAAAAGCACCTGGCATGGATGGAACAGATTACATTGTAGTTAAAATTTTATTCTCATTTCTCAGTACTTTAATTCTTAAATTTTTCGACAAATGTCTTATTTTAAATTATTTTCCACATCATTTAAAAAAAGGTCAGGTTTTACTTTTTAAAAAAAGGCAAAAATCCAAAACATTTAACATCTTATCTCCTAATCATCCTTCTACCTTGCTTGGGTAAATTTTTGGACAAACTTATCATTAAAAGACTAAATTTTCATTTAAAAAATATAAACACCCTTTCAGATCTTCAATACGGTTTCAGATTCGGCAAGTCAGTCAAATTAGCTTTGGATAATTTTAAAGATAATTTAACACACCTAAAAAATATTTACAAACACGTTGCAGCTGTATCGTTAGATATTAAAAGTGCTTTTGGCAACATTCAATGTAGTATAATTAATTATGAGTTATTAAAATATCATATTTCCTCTAATCTTTGCCTTTTCATAGAAAGTATAAACACAAATAGACAAGCAATTCTTTCAACTGATCAAGGTTACGCAACTAAAAACATTTCAAAAGGTTGTCCCAGAGGTCATGTATTGGTCCTACAGCATGGAATCATACTATTAATAGTTTGCTTAACATACATTCCGAAAATTTTATGATTCAAACTTTTGCAGACGATCTGATTATACTGACTTTTGCCAACTCAAGGAGAAATTTGGAAGAGATTAGAAATAATTCCCTTAATGAAATTCATACATGACTTATTCAAAATGCTCTAAATCTCTCTCTAGTGGAGCATGTAGGAGTGGTCATTGATAAAAAATTAAACTGGGGCTCTCACATTAATATTTTTAAAAACAAAATCTAATACATTATTAAATTCGCTTCAAAAAATTAACCAAAAATCGTTAGGTATCAACCAAAAAGCGAGAAATTTATAATCCAATACAGTAATAATTCCCTCATTAGCTCATGGTTGCAGCCTATGGGCAACGAATATCTCTTCACGCATTTATCGCACTCTACTATCTATTCAAAGAAAATTTCTTTTAAACGGGCCTATTATTCTACCCCCCATGGCAGCACTTCAAGTACTAACAAATATTCCTCCCCTCGCACAAGAGATTATGTCAATATCATGCTCAACAACAATAACTCAACTCAAAAAAGATGCCAAATTTAATAATATAACGTATAATACTCTAGACTATGAGAAAAGCTAAAAATACAGGTGATTGTATTTTTAATGTCAATTTAAATTTTAACTTGTGATACCATCTCCAAGGCTGTCTCAACCTCTATTATGCATAGATGTCTTGTATCCTATTTTTCAGATTTGCGGATGTACCGATATTTTGATAGTCAAAAATCGAAGTTCAAGGAGGATGTTTAAATTGGATAAAATATGCTTTTGTGTCTGATCTCATAAACTTATGCATGGTATGCACAACTCAATAAAAATGTTCACTTTTTTTCCATACTGTACTGTTATTATCATTCAGAAGTCGTGGTTGACAATCAGTAAATCTCAATGTACAGATTTGACCAAAAATCTACTTTTTGATACCATAATAATAATGAGTTTTATTTGATGTATGATTCTCAGCATGATGGGGCATTTTAAACACGAAGTACTTGAGTACTGTATCCCATTTTTGGAGGAAGTTACACCCCAGCTTCGAAATGATTATCAAAGAGGGAGGAAGAATTGCATTTGTACTTACGTGACTATAATGTATAGTGAGTCTAGCTTGGATTACAGTTCTCTCAAAGCGTGATGTTATTCTAAACAAGAAGTACTTGAGTGGTTATGGTGAAAGCCTATCCAATTTTTACATCAAGTTACTCTTTCACCTCGAAATGGCTCTCAAACAGGAATAAAGTGTTGCAATTGTTCTCCCAAAGCTAAAGCGAAAAATTAGGAGATCAGACCGGTGAATCCATAACTTATTTTCCAGAGAATCGTCGGCGAATGTTGTCGTTTATTAACAGGAATCTAGAATCAACTACAACCATAAGAATAGAATAAGACTAAATTCTCATAGTTGTACCTATTTAAATTAAACAAATGCTTTGATGAGGGGCCCTTCATTGAAATATCTGCGTAGCACTTCCTCCGCTAGAATATTCATTTTCTTTACTGTCTGAGTCATATTGGTCATATGCGTCATATTTGGATAAGTCAATTTCAAGAAAAAATTCCATAATTTAATACATTTCAATGGAATATATATTTTGGAATTATGCAATTTATTATATGCATTTCAATGCATATTAAAATGCAATGCGTTATAAGCATTTGTATTTTTCAACGGATTTATTTTTTCTTTCCAGTCTGTCATATTTCAAAAAGTCAAGTGTTTCCACATCAAGTGTGTATGGTTTTTTGAGTGGCTGTTGGACTTTGAATACTGTTTTTGGAAGACCAAATGCAAAGCCAAGTGTAGTGACTTCGAGTGGGAGTAAGATATAAATTTTTGTTTCCTCATATCATGAAATTTCGTTCACTGAACATTTTAAAGCTATTTCCCACGAGGCATAACAAAAGGTTTTAACAATGAATTGCAAATTGCCTTTTTTAAGGTGAAAATTAACTTAGTTAAAAAATGGAAATGGATTATTCTAAATTAAATAATATTAATTCATGTTAGAGAAAATGTTTTTTAAATAGAATGTTATGAAATTATACCAGCCAGTATTGCCAAAATATTCTTCAGAAAAGCTTTAAAAATGACAATTAAAAGACTTTTATACACGAAAACTGTAGTTTTTTTTAAAAGACATAAACTAAACTAGTTGTTTTGAAGTTGTAGTTTAAATGTCTTCAAAGTAAATTTTTACTTTTCTAGGTAATTATTTAAAGAAAAATTTTAGTTCTTCTGGAGTAAGAAGAAAATGTAAGAGAAAAAAATTGAAGAAAATGTAAACTCTTTATAATGACTGTAAAATAACTAGTTCTTTTAAGCCTATAATTTTTAAATAAACATCGTTGAAAAAAATTCGACGAAATAATATCTATCTTTCAGAATTCTGCTGATTCTCTCTAGGGAAAAGTTTATGGAAATGTCTCGGGAAAAAGTAGCTCACATCAAGAGGCTCGGATTTTGAAAAAGTTTACCATGGACCAAAAACTTTTTGTACCCTTTTAAAAACTTTTGATCTCATAATCAAAATAATTTAATTTTGACTATATTATCGAATAATGTATAATAAATATTGATATTTGATACAATATTAAAACTCTATCTTAATGATTCGAGAACCTCACCTTAAATATCAATTGGAGAAGACAATATTTTAACTTCTGTCCTGAGTCATAATTGCATTGAATTGATACCTGAGTCATAACTGCATTGCATGAGTTGCCTACAGAATCAAAATGGAAAAAAAAAACTTTAAAACTGGTTGTTTAAATGTGGTATAATTTGCCAGACTTATTACTGCTTTATTCCTAACTTACGTAATCAATGTTAGTTCAAATTGTAATGATTTAATTTTTATTCTCACATAAATAAACCAATAATGATATAAATAAATCAAACTATTATCACTTTGTTGACAAATGAACAAATGACAAAATAGTTTTAGCTTTTATAGCCTGGTTGTCTCCACCCTGAAAATGCATATACTATTCGCCGTAGTGGTTAAGTCACGAATCCCCTGAATAAAAAACTGAGTGATTTGGTTTTCTGGCTTTCCAAATATGATTCGCAATCTTGAATCCTAATGATTTAGTCTAGAAAGACTCCTTCATATTAATTTTCCTATTAGCATATTTTTACATGCCCCGAAAACTCTTTAAGCAAATACGAAATTTGACACAATTATAAAATCCATTTATCCAATGCCATGCAAAAAGGGTTGTATAGTTATTGACTTATTTTTAAGGAACACTAAAGTGTTTCATTTTCTTCAAATAATGTGCCTGAAAATAGTTTGTTGTTTCAGCTAAGAATACAAAATTATTTTTTCAAGTAGTTTTGTATTCTTATAAACTACATAAATTCAGAACTGTTAAGAGTATGCTTAGCATTAATTTTTAAATTATAGCAAAAATAAAGTATTTTTATTCAAAGTTTTTCTAAAGAAAGTTATAGAACGGTAAAGAACATTTCCCTGGAGAAGAAAGGAAATTCTTCTCCAGGATTCTTTGAATACTTACATCTTTTTCCGAAGTTTAGCATCGGTACGCAATAATTTTAAACATAGAATGAATTATTTTCCGTAATGAGTCAATCACCCATCTCGCTTTTATGTCATTATGAAATCGGGTATATTCATACATTTCTTGCCTGAATGAAAAGCGATGTCCTTGAAAGCAGCCCAATATTTCCAAGATTGCTTAAGACCCCTATTAGACAAACTAAAAAACGTCAAATGTCGAGCGAATCAGTGGCGTTTTGTAAAAAAATAATACACTGCCCTAGCGGTGCACTGGCCAATCAAAAAGGTCCCGTTCACGGCTTCGGGCATAACAGTAAAACGATTAATAATTTCTATAAAGGATAGAGTAGCCATTGTATATTGTGAACTTAAAATAAAAAAGTAAATAATTAAATTTTTAAAAAAAATAAGCAAAGCACAATTGAAAGAACAATAATAGTCATAATCATATAATAGTTTCCGTTCTATAACCTAGAACCTTCCTCAGTGCCAAAACCCCAAATGATAGTAGAGAAAAAAAGGTTGGTAGGTATATTATTTACGTCGCTTTAGAGTTGCACAAAGAGCTATATCCGACGGTCTGGGAAACATCCCTGAGGATGATCTGAAGACATGCCATCACAATTTTGATCCTCTGCAGAGGGAATGAGCCCCTGCTTTGGTAGCCTGATGACCTGCACCCGAAGTCAAATACGGTAGAACAATTTAACGAAGACCAATACCATGCAACCTTGATCCCTACTCAGGCTGATCAAAGTGGTCATCCACCCGCTTACTGACCGCAGCCAGTGGTGCTTGACTTTGCTGTTCCACTGAGAACCGTGTCTTTACAATCAGTTCACTGCTGGACAGTAAAGAAACAACACGTGCAGGGTGGTTTAATCAATAGAGACAGAGTTACAGATATGAAGAAGATAATAAAAGATAGAAAATAAGACTGAAGGTTGGCCGGGATCCCCACCAGTATGCAGGAGATTGAGCTGGAATTGATTTCTAAATGTTGGGAAACTGTGGTACATTAAATGAATCATTAACTGAATTATTAGAATTTTTCAGAACACGGAATGATTCTCAGGAATCAAGTTCTGCTTATAAAGAGCAATGTTGAATGGTTTTGGCTGATGAAAACTTAAACCCGTGATCAGACTTCCAACTATAAGGTTTAGAGAAAAATCAATTAATAGCGTGATTTTGGATATTTCTTTTGTGTTGAAGTCGAAGTTTCAGGGCGCGCTTAGTTGGTTCAATGCACAATGCATACATTAACACGAAATTAGATGAATTCGCCAGTTATTAATATCTGCAATAGAGTCTTCTAAGTTAGAAAATTTAGTTTGTTTACAGGCACAGAAACTGCGTTTTTAAACATAAGTTAAGTCAAAATCCTAGTAATTCGGGAAAAAGTATTAGGATAGTAAGGAAAAATAGTCAATTTATTCGAATTAGAGAGTTTAATGGATTGCGAGATTCTTAAGATAAAATCAATGATATTAGAAAGAAAACCACGGTCTATGACGATACATTTCAGGTAAAAGAGCTCTTCATTGAGGAGATAACTATTTGAACAAATTTAAGAAGTACGGTAAACAAGTGAGCTTAAGGCAGCTATCTATTGCTTAAGGTGATGTTTAGGTTATGAGTGGCAACTGAAACCACAAATGGTTTCCGATGAACAGAAGTTAGAATTTCATGCAATTACGAGTAATAATAACCTCTAAGAAAGTTAAACACTTATTACTTCTTCGAACGTGAATTGCATAAAAAAATCTATAAAATGCACACTATTGATAACATGGCCAGCATCAGCATTGTCCAACAATGTCAGCACTACCCATCAATGATGTTCAATTTTAATGGTAAATTTCATCAAATGATTGCTGATTTGACTATTGACTTCTTAAGTGATCTGAATAGGCATTATTTTGAAGTAAAACTCCTTGATTTATTAAAATTTTCTTTTTATGGATGATAAGTCCAAAATTGTTTAATATTAATCGATTGTACTTAAACTTGATATTCTTCAAAAGGCAAAGATTACTTTGTTTATTAAATATATAATAATTATAATTTCAGGTAAACATATTTTGTAGATCTGTTATCGTGTCAAAATGAATGAGCATCCAGATTAGAAAAATATAGAGCTGTAAGAAAAATTAAACTTTAGGAAAACTAAATAAGAAGATTAAGAAAAATTAAACTTCTCTTTTAATTTTTCTTATTTGAAAAAATAAGAAAATTAAAAGAGAAGTATTTTTACACTAAGCAGTCTAAAGGTCCCTTCCTAACAAATTTCCTAACAAAATTCAGGTTAGGCTATATCATGTAATATTGTGAGGATTTTTACATCAAACATTCGGTAACACTCAAAAGTTTCCAAAATTACTGCAAAAAATACTGAAACCTACTCACAGAAAACAGAAAAAAGCATAACCATTTTCTAAATTGAAGCCATTTGCAAACCCGTACATTTCGTTTAAAGTTATTTATTCAAAGTTTCGTCTTAAAATCAGCTTTTCTCAAGTCACATATTTTTACCTAGAGAGGTAAGAAGTGCTCATCTTTTGATAAATCCCATGAAATTAAGAATTAGTAAATGGTTGGAGTATTGTATGGTGCTTCAATTCATACTAGCACTGGAATATTTATTTATTTATTTTGGTCAAAATAAATCTTTCTTTGTTCGTTTAAAAATACAACAAAGTTAATATCCAGTACTTCGTTTAAATTAATTGATTATCATATTTTCGGTAAGGCTTTCAAGTTATTAACAGTTGAGCTAGAGTGCATGAAATTCAAATCATTAGAATGATAAGTTATTCACGGTGTACTGTTTTCCCTCTTACTGTATATTGAAGCAACTCTAACTAAAAATATACTTTATTCTCACACTTTTAGTTTTTGATGTTTGAAGGCCATAATCATCGTGATGTCTTAACATCAATTCTATTCTATTCCATGTGAATATTTATGTGTGAACTTGAAATTCAGTTCCCTTTTTTAAAATCCAATCAAAATGATTGCATACAATTTAGAAAAAAAAATTTCCTGAATCTTTTAGTTTTTGAAGCCCTTAATTGCCTGATATCTTGACATCAACTGTGACATCCTTTTCTGTAATAATATTTAAATGTGCACATGAGTCTCTGCGCCCTTTTTGGAAATGTCTATTTCTAGTCGGCAGCCGTGTTAAAGAGAGTTAATAGGGAATTGCATCGTAGCTCTAGCTCAATCCATTTTTTTTTTATATGATGACACATTTTTTCTCAATAAAATATGATTCAAGCTAAAAATTTGATACTTTGATGCATTTTTGATGTGATTTGTAGTTTTTGATGTATTTCAAACTTTGCTAGTTCATCCCTAAAAATGTTACATTAGTTTTCAAAACTGGGGTTGAGATGTTTTCATTAATGGGCATTGAACAGTGGGCAGACGTGAAATATTGGTAAGAGTTTGTGAACATTTACTTTCTTCCTCTTTCTTTAATACTTCATATGCGTATTAACAAACAAATCCTAATGGGCATAAATTTCCTTCGTCCTCACACGAATCTTAAGAACGTATAACAGAATGGAAAATTAGAGAACAAACTATACATTTAAAAATGTTTATTGTAGTCCCAAGTATCTAATCAATATATGAGAATACTTAAAGTGTCTAATGGTTTTCAAACAAAAAAAAAATAATGCATGAACAAAAAGAAAATGAAAGATAAATAATATCATTTAAAAGTAAAAAATCACATTATGCTTTCTGTCTTGTCTTTCACCTAGTTCGATAAGTTATGTTTTAAAAATTAAATAAGCATAATACTATTCGTTTGCTATTTATTATATTTCATTCAATTATTTCAGCTATAGTTCTCAATATATCCATCGATGAAAGGGAATATATATATCTTTATCATCCTCCAGAAGGGCTAATATCCATTCACAATCCGTACCGCATTGTCAATCCTCACATTGAAGGCTTCACTTTATCTTTGAAAACACAACAGCATACTTTTCATTTAAAGAAGGTAACTCTATTTATATTTTAAAACTCATACCTTTATGCCATTAACTAGCTGAATATATGTTCTACGCATTAGGTGAAAATAATCAAACTTTTAATCGGTATTTTTCTATGCTACGATATAGTGCAATAAACTGAACTGAGTTTATAAATATAATAAACTAAACTAAGTTTAAGATTTCTTTTTACAATTATTTCAAATGACTATCAAAGGAATCGATCTAAATTACCTGCTTATTGTTATATTTTCAGCCACAGGGTGCTCAAAAATACTAAATTTCTTTCGTGATTTATAATCAGCCTCTCAAACTTTTGAATTCAAAATTTAAAATTTATTGATAAGTAAGAGAAAAAGCATGATCTAAACACTTCTTAAGTAATAAAAAATAATATGTGTATTTCTTGAAAAATTTTAAAAATGTCAAAAACTGTAAGTGTTGCTTCCATTATTGTAAGTAGAATAGGTCGTAACAAAAGATAACCTTGATTAATTTTAGGCATACAGTAATAAAGATCTTAGAAGAAGAAAAAATTCGACATTTCTTTCCCAATCAAAACGAAAAAATTTCTCCAATGAGTTAAAGGGCCTGAGCCAAGTGTTTTAAGATAATGATTAAGAGTGTAAAACTAAACCTTGGCTGAAGAAGCCACAGCGTCAAAGAGTACCTAAGAGCACTGAGCTGTTATCGATATAATCACGTAAGGCACATGGCGAAAAACTGTCAGAATGACGAGTTGCAATAAAACCTACTGCTTCTATTGTAACCAGATCGAATATCACGCCCAGACCTGCAAGGCGAAGATCAAATGCGTTAACTGCCATGAAACAAACGTGAAGTTTTTATCTGCCTTGGAAGTTGACCAGAGTGCTTTGAAAAAGTCCTGTCCGTATACCAACGAGCAATAGATAGAATTGAAAAAAAAAAAGAAAAATTACAACTAGGCAGGCCCTGGAATCCAACTGTGATTGCAAGCCAATTGTAGCATTCTCCAATATGCTGCACTATCTATAGGATGCTGCACCTATGATTGTGTATACAAATGTTTCACCAATTTTGCACAAATAGCGAAAAACAAAGGTGAGGCCAGAGTTACAAATTCCACATTCATCGAATGGTTTTAATTTTTCTTACTCTATTTACAGGTGGTGAAGAAACTTCTTCCACATCCATATGACACGAATTGCATTGATTACGTGTCCAGATGGAAAGAAAGAGGAGGCAGGGGACCAATGAATAATGTAGTAAGTAAAGATAATAAGTTTCTTCTCTCTTTTCATCTAGCTATATATATATATATACTAGGAGGCTTCGCCCCCTGCTCGCTGGCGCTCGTCAACCCCCGACCTAGAATGCCAGCTTATGGCCTTACGTTTGCCGTGAGGTGTGTGCTTACTGGGTGTATATATATATATATATATATATATAGAACTGATAAATGTGAACATTTTCAAAAGCTTTTCACTGTCACTTAAAACTGTGCAATCGTCATACTATAGCTTATAATGATTATTTTATAGTTTAAAAAAGTGAAATACATTAAAGTATCATTATTAATTCTATGATTTCTAATTACAGTTTTCTCAATGAGCCTGAAAAACAGGAATTGTATAATTTTTTTCAAAGTAATCGCCATTTACTTTTGCGACTAATGAACCACCACATCCACTTACAACTGTGCTATCCGCTTGCTATAGTTTCTGATGTTTATTTTAAGGATATAAAAAAAAAGAAAATAAAAATAAAAAAAATTTTATAATTTTTAAGTGCACTAGAAAAACACAGATAACGTAATTTTTTCAATTTCCCTCTTTATACTGCCATGGTATATTAGCTGGCACATAAAGAAGGATAAGGTTTAGAATGTCCTTCAACTGTGGCCTGAAAAGACTTCTTTCACAGCAAATTATCGAAACATGGATCATGTTTACAAGAGAAATTCTAAATTTTCAATTGAAACAAACAGCAGACGTATCAGTTTTTCTAAAGAAGCAAGGATACTACATCAAAAATATTAAGATTGTACAACAAAACATCTATACTGTGTTTAACTACAAGATTGTTTAAGATTGTTAAATAATATATGATCGTCGTAATTCGTTGGAATTTGTACAATTTTCACTAAGACAAAGAATTATTAAAACGGCTGGGATAACTTGATAGGCCATACTCTCTAGCCATGGACTCGCTAGCCTCGCTTGTGTGGTAAATGGTAACTGGTGTACGTTAAATTTGTCTTGTCAAAAAGTCTTCCATGTTCCCATAGCACATCAATAGATCTGGAGGTTATGAATTGGAGGTTCGGGACGAAAGTACGATCTGTGGAATAGATTTATGAATGAGTCAGCTCTGAAAACGGGCTGTGACCACGGCTTGGTTTTACCAAGCCGTGGTCACAGTTTTTGCTGTTCCTGCTTGCTCAGTTTCTGCTTGGTAAAACCACGAGCTTGGTTTTACCAAGCAGGTTTGCTGGTTGGAAAGGGGGGCATTAAAAACCACAAAGCAGAAGCTAAACGTATTGGGCAGAAGCTAAACGTATTTATAAGCAGAGTTTTTTCACTTCTGAGGCTTTCATTACCAGACCATCAACTTTCCTGCCATTTGGAAATTCTTTGGTATATAATTTGGTTGGATTATATTCCTGACCAATAATTTAGGATAATTTTGAATCTCTCGAAGAGTGAATATAAAGGTAAAAATTTCCTCACTAGATTTATCACGCAGATCATCAAAAGTACTAGGCAAATTTCAGGGAACCACCAGATGACATCGATAGTACGTCACAATGACGAAAGTGTAAGAGAGAGGTTTATAAGAAAAGGCTGCAAATAAGTAAATTTGTTCGCAAGTTATCTGTAAGGCATTCAGTGTCATAACCAAATAGTTACGACACGGTGGACGGTTATTGCGTCCGTGGAATTACCCAGCATTTCATCTCTAGGCTTGGCGTTTCATTAAGATGAAAATGTCAGCAGACGTTACAGCACATGCCACCACTGAGTGTCAATGTCAAACTTATAGCCAAATGAGAGCACCGCATCCAAGCAACCACGGGTACCACAACATCAAGGCAAACCGTGTTCAAACGTTAGAGAAATATTGGAATGGAATGTACACTGTATGATATCTGTTTCACTCTCGGCAACTCATTGTTCACAGCAATCAGTCTGGAGGTGGTTATAATGATTTGTTTTCCGAGGAATCCAGGATTACCTTGTAGTCTGATTCACGTTGGAATTTTACATGGATTACCCATCACCACCACCAAGCGTAACCGTTACTGTGATACAGGATTGATCGTTTGGGGTGGAATTATGCTTAGCTAAAGAACTGCATTTTAAAATCGGAACCATGATGAGCCAAAATTTTCGAAGCGTCATTCTGAAACAACGAGCTTAGCAGAAGTCCGTTTGTCACTTTCTTCATGTGTGCCAGAATTCGGAGAGCATGAATAAATAAGCCCTATATTTTAATACTTAGCATGCCTAATCGTTGTACGGACTGTAGTTTACTGCATGGGAGATATGCAATGTACTAACCATACCAATTATGTAATTAAACTTTTCTAAAGAAGATATTTTTTTAAATTAACCTTAGATGCAAAAATCGTAGTTTTAATGAATGATATCATATATACACCATCTCTTTCGATTATTTTTTAATCTTTTTATTACTTTTGTTTTTGTTTACTGGGCTTTATGAATAAGTTACGTTTGTTTTGTTTCTGAACTTTTATTTGCTGCCATTATCCTTAACTTTTGAACATAAGTTAGAACCAAAACAGTAGTGTGTTTCACATATTAAATGATTTTTTTATTAGTTATCTAAGATAAAACTCGATGATTAACGAAAACGTGGTAGCATAGGCCGAAGTAATATTTCTAAAGTTATGTAAAATCAGGCATTTATTTTGTTCCGACCATCAGAAAACTAGGAAAATCTATTGTTATTTTGCGTACATTTCGAATATAAGAAAAATACAAAAAATCGTCGTTTTCTCTGCATTATATAAGGTTAGATTCTATATAAAGTAACATTATTTAGCATTTGCCGTAATATTATCTTGCTTTGGTTGGTATGTTATATAAAAGTTTGTGTTTTTTTCAAGTAAAAATATCTTCTTTTTTTTTGAATAATCAAGAGAAACAGTTTGACGTTAGTAGAATAAATCAGCGATATAATTTAATTTAATTTTGTGTATTGTTGTGAAGCAGTAAAACAATAAACATTAGTTATCGTGACACTAAGTTCTCAATACGGTTAATTGTTGTTGTGATGAAATGAACTACAAAAAAAAACGTTTTTTGTTTCATTTGAAAACAATACAACCAGAGGGAAGGACAGCAAATAATAACAAATAGGCAAATAATATATTTGCTTTATTAACTGTGTCGTTATAGGCCTTTAAGTTTTGCAAATGATTTCGTAGTGTTATTGACTACTGTGTAATTGATTTTTTTTAGTTCCTTCCTCACAAAAAATGGGTATTCAGCTATTTTTTTCATTAAACAATATGCACTCATTAGGAGATTTAACAATATCTGATCTGGAATGCCTGCTTTTTTATGACATAGGATTGCGTCAGAAAAGGCTTAGAAATTGTAAACTGAAATGCGTAATGATATCTATCTTTAATTTAATGGCATTTAATAAGCTAGTTTTTAGATCCTTTTATTAAGCAAATATGCAGATAGAATATCTCTCTCTAAATTTAATGAATTTCATTCAAGCTTTTTGTGTTTTAGGAATGCTATAACGAATGCCAATTAAATATTAGCTTAAAAGAATTTGGTTGCCTTCATGATAAGATGAGACGATATTCAATGGAAAGCGCTATCTGCCCGCATGTTTCTACCTGTACGTAAAAAATTTGAATTTAAGCTATTTTTTATTATTTTTTGAATACAGTTGTTTTATTTTTGATAACTAAGAATTAGTATCTTTAACTTGGAACCATTTCATATCATTAACTTGTTACTTTGCTCAATTGTAAGTATCCAATGAAAAAATGAAAAGATTATTGATTAACATATTTTAGTTGTTTTCACTTCCACAAATAAGATTAAAACCCGGAGGCCAGTTACCTTGATAACCATGGTAACAGTTGGTCTTTTCTTTATCTTTTTCCTAGCTCTATTGAAATGTCAACAAAAAAAATTTGCTTTGTTATAGTTTTTTTTTAAATTAAAGGCTTATTGCGATAACAAATTTGGTGAGTTCATTATAGCTATTTAATATTTTTGCTTATCAAACAAGTTCATATAATAAACACAGCTCGCATTGTTCATGAAGCTGATCTCAGTCAGTCCTAAATCATTTAACGAATCTTTTTGACGGTAATTTATCACAGCATATTAATGTAATTTATATAAACTAAACTCAGTGGCGTGACAGCCCATAGAGGGCCAAGGCCTACTGTGCCCATCTCAGCTTTCTTGACCTTGGGCTCTGGGGTGCAGGAGCATATGTTTCGGTCAGGTGATCTACTGAACGCGGAACCCTCATTGTTTAGTTCCCAAGCATGCTTGGTACTCAATTTTCGAACCTGTGACGCAGGAGCTCGAAGCGCTACCACTCAGCCCACGGGCGTTGTAATTTATATAAGAAATACAAATTCTAAAACGGTTAGCATATTAAGATTCCGAATCAAATACATTTACCAGAAACTGTAGCGCAATATGGTAGTATTATAGAATTACGTTATAATAAAGAAACAATCATTATTTTAGTTTAAATGAAATTAAAATCTTGAAAAGAAATATCAAATTCACCGAAATAACATTACTTTCCTGTCCACCTAATATTACAGGGAAATACTTTTAAATTAGGAATACAAAAATACTTTTTTCACCTTATTTCTGACGAAGGTCCTCTCTATTATCAGCAGATAATAGAGAGGAAGCAGATAATATATACAGTGAAACCTGTTTTTGTGCGATCCTTTTTTATGCGATTTTGTTTTTGTGCGATTGGTTTTGTACAAGTTTATTTTTGTGCGATTTTTTTTTGCGATTTATTTTTATGCGGTATATGAATCTTAGCGGCGTTAGCACCAGTTTAATGTTTCCTATCAATGTGCATATACATGTTGTGGACAAACTCTAATTGCGTAGTCTCCTTGACAACGATGTATCTGGACTTCGCGATGCTCTGTTTATTTATTTTCATTAGTTCATTTATTATCAACTCCATTTTCTCTTCGGTTTAAAATTTATTCTACGCTAAACAAGTTGAAGTAAGTCAGTAAAAAATCGTCTGCAGTGTTAAAATACTTTGTATTTTAAAATTAAACCATTATTTTTATTTCGTAAATTCGCGTCTGCGCGTATCTCAAATACTATACGCTTCGTATTCAGAGTTTTATACACGATTCATGTGATTAAGGATTCATTTTGTAGTGAGATTAAAGGTAAATAAATTAATTACTTTTGTTTATATTTATATGTAGTTTTTATGATTTTTATTTAATTTTTTAATCATAAGTACTCCCTTAAATGGACAAGAAGTACCGGAATCTATTACAGCAGATAAAATATATGCAGAGATCCATATTTCGAAAAAATTGGAAACGTATTTTCGTAAAATAGATACCAATGCGGAAAGACGCTTAAAATTCCAAAAAGAGCTGAGATCATGCATGTCTCACTATCATGACGTTTACAAGCAATTGACCAGTCGACCGTCTCCACAAAAACTGATCACTGACATTATGGTACCAAAAAATAAGTCAATTGAAATCCTATCTTCAAGCGATGAAAGCGATTTTCAGTTCATCACAAGAAGATGCGCGTTTTGGATTACGACGAATAGCAACAAACTATTTAATGTATAATTTAAAAACTTCTCCATGTATATGTACAATGAAGAATTAAATATTTTTTGAATTTCTTTAGGTCTAATTTAATTATTTAATTTAATTGAAAGCATTCTCTCATCTATTTCATGAATCATTGATGTATTTTCTGAGTCCGACTTTTTTTATGCGGTCCCTATCCATCGCATAAAAAAAATTTTAGGTTGTATATCGTACAGAGTTGTTATTATATGTAAGAATTTATAAAATTTTCGAATATTTTTTTTGTACGATTTCTTTTATACGGTCCCTATCCACCGCACAAAAAAAGGTTTTACTATATATAGGGTAAACTAACCAGTGAAGGAACACTTAAGCCTCGCTTGCCTTCTAAAAAATCATATTAATTTCAAAATTCGTAATTTCAGTTAAATGACAGTGTCAACATATTTGTTACTAATTGCAAATTATGCAAGAAAATTTTAGAGAACTTACATAATATTGTTTTAAAGTTTTGGAGGTTCAAATAACAAGTAGTAAGAAGACCCAGTGAAGGAACAGCTCTTACCAGTGAAGGAACACAAAATTGCCCAGTGAAGGAACACTTAATTTTGGTTATTTTTTAATGCTCTTTATGAATTTTTTAGCTATACAAATATATAAAAAGAAGACTATTTGTGAATTATAACATACAAGTACTTGTAAAATGCTAACTTTCTTCTGTAAATTATGAACTAGAAATTAAAGTGATGTTAAATACAAAATAAATAAAAAAATATCATTCTTTCTTATAATTTGACAGTCAGATCTAAATCATTGTGTCATCCGATGCTGTTTATTATCATTATTATTTTATCACCTTTTTGTTTACTCTTTTTCCTCTTATTTCTTGAAGCTTTTTTTCTTTTTTAAGTATTTTTTCTTTCTTTTTCTTTTCCATGTTCTCTTGTTTTAATGTTTTTTAGATCTTTCAG